CTTATTCTTTCTATTCTATTCTATATTAATTCTAATCCTTCTATTTCTATTCTTTCCTATTCTATTAATTCTATTCTATTTTTATTCTATTTCTATTCCATTCTCTAGTCTATTTCTTTTCCACTTCTATTCTTATTCTATTCTATTCTCTATTAATTCTACTCCATTTCTATTCCACTTCTATTCTTATTCTTTCTATTCTATTCTATATTAATTCTAATCCTTCTATTTCTATTCTTTCCTATTCTATTAATTCTATTCTATTTTTATTCTATTTCTATTCTATTCTCTAGTCTATTTCTTTTCCACTTCTATTCTTATTCTTTCTATTCTATTCTTTTATATTCTATATTAATTCTATTATTTTCTATTTCTATTTTATTGTTTCTATTCTTTTTTATTCTATTCTATTTCTACTCTATTTCTATTCCACTTCTATTCTTATTCTTTCTATTTTATTCTATATTAATTCTATTCCTTCTGTTTCTATTCTTTCCTATTCTATTAATTCTATTTTTATTCTATTTCTATTCTATTCCCCATTCTATTTCTATTCCACTTCTATTCTTTTTCTTTCTATTCTATTATATTCTATATTAATTCTATTCTTTTTTATTTCTATTCTAGTGTTTCTATTCTTTTTTATTCTATTCTATTTCTATTCTAATTTTATTCTGTTAATTCTAAGACAAGTCTATTCTATTCAGCAGGGGGTTGGACTAGAAGACCTCCAAGGTCCTTTCCAACATTGTTATTCTATTCTGAATTCTATTCTATTTTGAATTCTATTCATATCCTATCCTATCTCATTAAACTTCTATTGTATTATATTCTTATTTATATTTCATGCCATGCCACATTTTCTTTTCCATTCTAAGAAACGAACAGGTGAGGAATAGGAGGAAACGGGGAGAAGGCAGAAATAATCCCTCCCTCTAAAGCTGAGGGGGAGGTCCTTCGTTCTCCTCTGCTACCCCCTCCTCCCCTCCCCTTAAGGGATTCGCACCTTGAACCGTCTGGCCAGGAACTTGTTCTTCATCTCCAAGAAGTTCCCCTTGTTGGCTTCGCTTTTGAAAGGCTCGTTGATGATGGCAAACTGATTGTCGTTCTGGATGTCCTGCCAGCGAGCGTACCCGTGTCTGCCGGAGACGGGGTGGTGGGGTTAAGGAGAGGTCCCCGTGTGGCAAATAGGAGAGAGACCCCGGGAGCTCAGAGGTGGGGGGGGGGATCCCAGTCGCATCCGAGCATCTTTCCAGCTTCAAGGATGACGCCTATTTCCTTTTTCACCCGGCCCCTGAAGGCCAAACTCATTTTTCCCCAGCCAAACCTCCCATTCTATTCTCCCCTCTCTCTCTCTCTCTCTCTCTCTCTCTCTCTCTCTCTCTCTCTCTCTCTCACACACACACCTACCTACCTACCTACCTACCTACCTACCAGCCGGATAATCTGAAGAATCTACAACTTTGGAAAAGGAAAATGGGGGAGGGAGGGGAGAGGGAGAGGAGGAGGCTGAATTCCTGCCCGAATGCCTCAGGGGAAGGGCAGCTATGGTGGTGGGGGTCCTTCGTGCTCTCTGAGCCTGGGGGTTTCCTTGCAGACGTTTCATGACCCAACTAGGGAACATCATCAGAGCTGGTTAGCCTCAGTCCCTTGCAGCACTGATGATGTTCTCCAGCTGAGTTACGAAACGTCTGCAAGAAAACCAGCCAGCTCAGAGGGGAACCCAGGACCCCACAGTTCAACTCCGAGCTACAGAGGTTCTCTCTGGTCTGGCAGCTCTGGAACGGAAACTGGCACCGGAGACCCCGGGGGATGTGGCCCACTCCCACTCAAGACGTTTTCGAAAGAGCTCGGCTTCTTGCAGGAAATAAGTAGACCAGCCACCACTATGCCTGAAGCATGAAAGCTGATTGGGAGACTCTGGGCCAATCACCAGGAGATGGGGAGTTCTAGTCCTGCCTGAAGCATGAAAGCTGACTGGGAGACTTTGGGCCAATCATCAGGAGACGGGGAGTTCTAGTCCTGCCTGAAGAATGAAAGATGACTGGGAGACTTTGGGCCAATCACCAGGAGACGGGGAGTTCTAGTCCTGCCTTATGCTTCAAAGCTGACTAGGTGACTTTGAGCCAATCACCAGGAGACGGGGAATTCTAGTTTTGCCTTATGCTTGAAAGATGACTAGGTGACTTTGAGCCAATCACCAGGAGACGGGAGTTCCAGTCCTGCCTTATGCATGAAAGCTGACTGGGTGACTTTGAGCCAATCACCAGGAGACAGGGAATTCTAGTCCTGCCTTATGCTTGAAAGCTGACTAGGTGACTTTGAGCCAATCACCAGGAGACAGGGAATTCTAGTCCTGCCTTATGCTTGAAAGCTGACTAGGTGACTTTGAGCCAATCACCAGGAGACAGGGAGTTCTAGTCGTGCCTTATGCTTCAAAGCTGACTGGGTGACTGAGCCAATCACCAGGAGACGGGGAGTTCTAGTCCCGCCTTACGCATGAAAGCCGGCTGGGTGTCTTTGGGTCAGTGTGATTTGCAAGCTGTCGCCCAGTTCTCTCCCAAGATGGTATCCTTGTCCCCTCTTATTTCCCCACCATGGTCTGTTCTCCATCTTCATCCCAAGTTGCGGGCGCGTGCGCGTACTCTCTCTCTCTCTCTCTCTCTCTCTCTCTCTCTCACTCACTCACTCACTCCCTTTTTCTCAAGCCAAAGGATACAGGACGATGCCCGCCAGCAGCCAGTAATCATGTCGTCGGTGCCAAATTTCGTTCAGCTTGCTGGAGGAGATGGCAGCTCGCTCTTCGTTCTGCCAGAGGGTGTGGAGTTCTAACCGGGAAGAGAGACAGGAGAAAAATCTTCACCGGTCGGTCGGAGAAACCCCAGGAGGTTGATGGACAGGTGACATTTCCAACAATCCACATTCTTCCCCCCCACCAAGACTGCGTTTTGCCCACGTTGACAGCTTAGTCCTCGATGTACAGCCACAGTGGAGCCTCAGGTTTCTGTCGCTAAGCGAGACAGTCGTTTAGCGAGCTTGGGCCTGTCTGACCACCTTTCTTGCTGCCATTGTTAAGCGAATCGTTGCCGTTCGCATAACGGTCGCTAAGGGACTCCGACTTTCCCCACTGATTTCCCGTGTCAGAAGGACCCCGTGACCCTGGGATACGGTGACCGTCGTAAATAGGTGGTTGACAACCACCTGAATTTTGATCACCTGACCACGGGGACGCTGCGACGGTCGTAAATGCGAAACACGGCCCTAAGTCACTTTTTTTCAGTGCCGTGCCCGTTGCAACTTCAAATGGTCACTAAACCAATGGTGATAAGTCAAGGACTATCTCTTAAACATGACAAAGAGGCTGCACCAGTTCTGTAGACGTCTCGATATGGCCAGTCCTCGACTTACGACCACTATTGAGCCCAACATTTCCATCGCTAAGTGAGACAGTTGTTAATGGAGCTTTTGGCCCCTTTTGCAGCCTTTTTTGCCACCCTCGGTTTATGCGACCGTCATAAACACATGCCAGTTGCCCGGCGTCTGAAGTTTGAGGAATGCTACGACGGTCATAAGTGGGAGGACCGGTCCTAAGTCCCTTTTTCCTGCGTTATCACAACTTGGAACCATTGCTAAATGAACGGTCGTAAATCAAGGACTATGCAAAACCTTGCAAACTTGGCTCTTCGGGCGTGGGGTGTCATGCGCTCCTGTTATATTCAATTTTATACGATTTTGGGTTTTTATTGTGCATTTTTTTTCTTTCTTTTTAAAGATATTGGTTTGAACTTTACCTAGCTTAAGACTCCATGCTGAGCGGTGGTGGGGCCTTTAGGAGTCTTAAATTTGGAATGAAATTTATTTGTCGGTTGGTTAAAATTATTTGCCATCCTGTCTGGCGGTGCAGCTCCTGTATGCTCTGGGCTGCTTACAGCAATAAAAGTGGAGGAATGAAATGAATTTTCATGCATTTGTTTGTGACATTTATTTGCCATCAGTCTCACCTTACTTAGCCTGCCTACAACAATAAAAACGGAGTAATGAAAAGAATTTATTTTATTTTATTTTATTTTAATTATTTAATTTAATTCCCATCAATCTCACCTGAGGGCTATTATTCTAGCCTGCTTACAACAATAAAAACGGAGAAAGGAAAAGCATTTG